GGGGGGGGGGGGGCCCCCCCCCCCCCCCCCCCCGGGGGGGGGGGGGGGGGGGGGGGGGCCCCCCCCCCCCCCCCCCCGGGGGGGGGGGGGGGCGGGTGGGGGAAAAACCCCCCCCCCCCCCCCGGGCCCCCCCCCCGGGGGGGGGGGGAGGGGGGGGGGGGGGGGGCCCCCCCCCCCCCCCCCCCCCCCCCCCCCCCGGGGGGGGGGGGGAAACCCCACCCCCACCCCCCCCCCCCGGGGGGGGGGGGGGGGGGGGGGGGGGGGCGCCCCCCCCCCGGGGGGGGGGGAAATTCGGATTACTTGAAGCGCGTATGAAAGTTATCAAGGGCATATTTTGAGTTTCATTTGTTCAATAGTTTTTATTGTATAGAATATTTAAAAATAAAACGAGTTTTTTTCGCATCTTTTAAACGGTTTAAAATGTAAACTTTATTAGTTAACTTTATTTTAATAATTAATATTCGCCTTGCGGTAGCCGTGATCACGAGAACGTTTAACGTTGTTTAAGATTTGTCTGTAGTTTACGTGAGTAGTGCATACATATTTAAATACAACACTTTAAATGGTTTTAAATGCGAAATACATTAGTTGGTTGCAAGTACTTAATTAGTTAATGTAGTTCATTTGTAAATAAGGTTACTAATATAATTCGCGCTTGTGTTACATTTAAATGTATACTCGTGTTAACTCAAGAGGGAACAACTAAGTTAAGTTTGATGACCTCATAAAAATTCCGAAATGAAAACATTACCTGTTCCCACAACAAGCGGACGTATGCCATAATCTGTTGTTTCAACAAGGCAGCTCTAGAAACCAGTTCGATTATAATCCTGTATGTGTTGAACTCGGTTTTTATAGACGCATCACTAGTGCACTTCTAGTACTGGTTCAGAATGCAGTAGCTCACTTCCTCATTGCGCGGCCTCGCTGTCTACTTGTACACACTTTGCACAGTGTATTTATTTGCATTGTTCTAAGCAACGTTACTGTCGTGTACATTATCTAGTATACAATTTATACATTACTTGTAATATACTACTAGCTGTGCCAGCGACTTCGTCGGCGTAGAATAGTTGAATTTTGGGCGTCTCAATTTGTTTTTGCTAATACATTTTAACTGTTACGCACGAGGTCGTCCGCATCACGTCGTTCTTGCGAGTTAATCTTACTAGATAGACATATAGTGTCCCGGCTACTTTTTTTTTACATCGTTCTTTAATATTTTTGGGTTTCTTGAACAGTTTTCGCAGCGCACGTAGCGGAAGCAAAGATTCTCCATTAGTATACATTTGAATTAAATACTGTCTGTAGTTTACGCGAGTAGTACACATATAAATAAAGCACGTTGTTTAAATAATTTTCAAATAAGTTTAATTAATATATATCGTGTTTTAAACCGTTAGAGTGTTTTATTTAAATACATTTGTATTGTTATAAGCAACGTTATTGTCATGTACAATTTGTATATAGCTTGTAATATATATTACACTGTGTTAATGGCATTCCAACTAATAGGATGTTACTAACTACGCGACTTCCGGTGGCATTTAAGAACACAAAAAATATATGCTACGCGAATAATGGTAAATTAATAGTAATAGAATATTAAAATGACATATTAATACATTTACACTTTTAAAACTTTAATATTTTTCACATGTTATTGCACATGAAGGCACTATATAATTTTAAAATCGAAAATAAATTGAAAAGATTTTCGACTCGCACAGGACTTTCGACTCGAACCGGCATCGTCAGCATTCCGTGCTGTTGCTTTACCAATCGATTTTTAAATTACAATAACTCTTTTTAATCGATTCTTTTAAACATCTATTAATAGTAAACGAACAAAGAAGTCAGCTTACGCCAATTAATAAATAATTATATCCTTTCCTATATATTTTCTGTGGTTTAACGACAGTAGTTATTTAAATAAAACGGTTTAAATCGCGAATCTCCGTGACCGCGCCATTAGACATCCGAAAACTAACTAAATTGAATACTGTCTGTAGTTTACGCGAGTAGTACACATTTAAATAAAACACTCTAATGGTTTAAAACGAGTTATATTTTAGTTAAACTTGTTTGAAAATTATTAATTAGTTTCTTTAATTTAATTGGTTAGTGAATTTAACTATATTAGGCTTTCTAGTCGTGTTTAATGGTGTTTTATATCATTTGTGAAGTTAGAAGCCTAAAGTACCGTTAGGATCGACGGTACGTGCTCTGTAAGTCCAACGGAATAACCGGCTCGTAACCTTTCCTTAGTTTAATGCAAAGTACAGTCTCTCAATACGTACTTTGTTTTAACTCTATTAACCTTAGACAAATGACACTTATTGTTATTTCTATAAATTATTTCCTTTTTCTAGTCTATGGTATATACTATAGATCACGAAATCTGGCCGCAAAGTGAGAACTACAATACTTCGACGTATTCCGTATGATGTAATTCGTATTGTCCATTAATAAAAGTTTGAATTTTCATTTAAAACAAATCATGAAACGGTCACTCCAATTATGATAAATAGAGGAATGGAGAGATTCTGCCAAAATCGTTAGGCTTTGCTCATCAAAATCAGTTTAGCATTTTGAGCGTTAGAGTAGAATATACATACATACACTGACAATATAAATACGCTTTCCTTTGAAACAGGCCAGTGTTAAAGAGATGCAAATTATAAACAGGGAAGCATTATAAACACTTGTATACAGGTCATGGCAAATATGCGCCAACTGTACTCATGGCTACACGGTTGGACTCGAGTCACAATCCAAAATAGATGGAATATAGAAATAATATAGTATAGCTTGGGCTTGAGTGGTAGTTATCGAATCGTAGGAAAGTGGGTCAACTTGTACGACGGCAGCGATAAATGAGTCCCTCGCTCGTTCATTATCAATTTGTGCAATGACGTTAGGCCTTTTAGCTGCGATGTGTGTTGCGAAAGCCATTATAACAGAGAATTACAGGGGTACAGAAGTGCCTCAGCCCTGTAACATCTTCGGCGCGATCGAGAAATAGTTGTAAAAATTAGAGGATGATAGAGGACATACAAGATAACTCAATTACGGTACATGAACTATGTGGACATAAGTTTCCAGATCTTGGCCTCTTTGGCTTATAGGAGATTTACGATAGTGGCAATCGAAACCAAACACGTTGCTTATTAACGATACATCGCTATTGGACAAACGAGCTCGTTAAAACTTTGTTGTTTCTGTTCGAACGCCAAATAAAAGTGAAATTCGTGTTGCAGATTCACTCGCGAAATTGGTTCAAGGTCTATTCAAAATAAATACAATATGTGCCGATGTTGGGTGAAAAAAAATAGCACTTCCTTCTAGTACATAGTAGTCATATAGTAGAATGTTTATGTCTACTTTGAATGGCGGTGTCACAGCCTTTTATAACTTATTCTGTTAAATTAAAAATCGATTTGAGGTCGACATGGGCAGGACTTGAACCATCATCGGTACCATTCCGTGCTGTTGCTATAACCAATTGAGCTAATGTCCGTGTAGGACACACGTCATCGTCGATATTTTTCAACCTACTGATTCATGCACCTCTCGAGCAATTCCTTTTAATTGTCCTTCCAAACACGACTCGCATTGTTAACTATACTTAACGTGTTAAGATACAAAATTTATTACTTGTAATTATGACTTAGCAACTCCGATTTTATGAGAGTTAATTTCTGTAACTTCTCTTTTCAATCTCTGGCTATTTCGCTTGCTGCTTTGTACTTTGTATCGTTGGCTAGTTACAAAGGGTGTTAAAAAAAAAAAAAAATTTATTATTATATCAAACGATATTCTCATCCTATTTTTTACAATAAGATATATTGTAACACTGTTTGGGTTCAGGTAAAAGCACAAATCATAATACTGCCAAAATATGCGCCTTTGTATTTTAAACAAAGTGGTAATACCCTGTTTTACAGAACAATACTAATAATTGTGTATTTATTTTGAGAAGTCTTGGGTTTTACTAGCGAAGTAAAAATGTTTTTTTCTTATGGTTTCTGATCACCAGCTTCTTTATCCAATCTAATTTAGCTAAAGCCATTTAAAATTTCTATTCCCTAATAGAATTGTTCAATTTTAAAGATCGTTATAGTATCTTGCGTCAAACTTTGTAATTAATAATAATACCTTTAAATGACTTATGTTAAAGACTGCACTTGGTGTAGTTTAGCTTTTCGAGCCAAAGTCGAGGCCAGCAGGGCATCGTATTTAATCTAAATAGATTTCGAATTCATATAAAAAAACGTGTAAATAAGATAATAGTAATGTTCCAAGAATCTAAATTGTCCCTACAAGTGAACGTAACAATGTTTCCATTGTTATAACGGTGTGTACGAACAAAACGAATTCCAATAAAGTGTAATAGTTATACGAGCTAAGTTGAATGCAGTCCGCGTTGCGTTCAGTTGCCGTGGCTGCAAGGCCGTGATGCAATCTGCTCGGGTGGATTGTACATTGATGCCTGTTGAATGTTCGCGTGATTACTGCATAGTATTGTTCAAATGATATTTTGCACTACCGATACAGGTATCGTTATTTTAATATTATTTTTAAAACAAATGAATACGCAGATGTTATAACTGTTCTGTCTTCGCATTGACCTAGTATATTTCGCGTTTTGTAACGTTAAAACTGTTTTATTTAAATGTCGTTTTACCTACAAATTTTATCTAAATCAAAATCGACCTTGCAACTGTGTCCTGGTCAATCGAGTTTCGATCCCTCGATTTGAAATACGATTATTATTAACTAAAATTCCCCTTTACTTAGTGTCAGCGTCGCTGTGGGAAAAAATCGTTAATAGTGATGGTTAACGCTGATATACTATTACAAGCGATTGAGGTTCGAAATTTCGGGATTAAATAATAAATTTTGGATCGTATGACTTGAATAATTGAAAATTCGACCATCTAGATCTGTCAACATGAGGCTTCTGTGATGTATTACTTTGTAGTGCCGTGACGGAAGAAATGTACTCTAAAAATAGCGATCCGTCCTTGAGCCAGCGCGAGTACGCAGAACTGGGTCAGGCGAAGCCTCTTGGTACTTCCACTCCCTCATACTATTCCTGCCCCCCCGGCGACACCTCGTTTCTACAGAAACAAAATGCTGGTTCATGTTTGTGCTTTGCTCTCGATTTGTAAGAACTAATGAATGTATCTCACCGTTGTATATATTAAATTTGTATTAGTTAATAAGCTTAAACGTGGCAGGATACAGATTAAGGCTATTGGGGAAAAATTCATACGTTTTTAATATTGCTGAAAAGTTATACTTTTCTATCAAGTCTACCTGAGGCGGGTTGAATGATCCTCTCTACAAATCACCTCAAAGCTCGCGAACCAGATGTTCATTCACTATTGTCAAAAGTTTTTGTACAACTTTAATTCGGTGAAGTAACTCCAAAATAATGCTTACCTGAATGTATTCATATTGTATTGCGTTCCGTTCTCGCCGGCAGGTAGCGAACCCGCCTCGATCCCTCGCAGCTAAATTTGAATTTTCTAGATGTTTCCACAAACGAATTCATACCGAGTCTCGTATAAATCACGTTTTCAAATAAGTCGTCCTTTTAAGTGCTACAGATATGCTAAATGCGTTTTACGTCCACGAAATTGCTCTTAGTTCGTTGACCCGCTTCAAAGAATTATAAAAGACATTCAGATTAATATCTTACACATTAATTAGTATTTAATTATATTTCATGTTAAATGTAGCTTTGTATATTGAATATTAGCTGTGCCAGTGACTTCGTCCGCGTCGAATAGTTACTAGAAGCGGTCCCGTCGTTCTTGCAAGTTAATCTTAAAAGATAGACATGTGCTGTCGCGGCCATTTTTTAGATCATTTAAAGACTTATTCTTTCATATATACATTTTGGGTATATATATTCGAATCGTTTTCGCAGAACACCTAAAATTCACGTTCAAAGAAAAAAGCCTTCAATTTTCAAATAACTCTATTTAAGATATATAATTCTATAAATCTATAATGATATATTTTCGATGACCTGGAGCCACACTGTTCCAGTCTACAATATAGGACGTTGTATTAATTTTGATGTAAGCTTAACTTTTTTATTAAGTTAAGTAAATAGCTAACATAAACACGAGGATCGGAGACTTATCGGACAACGACCATGGCTTATCTATTGTCCTGGACTTCACGTAATTTGAACACGAACTAGTGTAATATACGAGTGAGCGAACAAAAGCTTGCTATTGGAGTTTTTGAAGCGGCTAAAACCTGTCGGGCCCGAACAATAAGACGTTTTTAGAACACCGGACGAGGTGCACTCGCGTTTCGTGCGGCAAAAAATCCGATTTCAATACGTCCAATGGGTAAGAGCGAAATCTTTTTCCGGACAATATTGTGTAACTTCGTTCGTCATTTGGCGAAAAAACTTTGCTTTGTTTCAGCGAGTTTTGGGTAAACAGAGCTTCGCAGTTATAAATAGAGAGTGTGGCCTTTGTTTCGCAATGTACGATTATAATTGCTTTGCATTACTTTTACTTGGGCACTTGCGTTGCATGTTATCCAACAATTAATATTGTTCTACAAACCACAAGCGTGAACACCTGTAGAAAGCTAGTAGGTAGATATATGTGATTTGATCAACAAGGGGTTGGTCCAATGGTAACCAAGACTAATAACGCGTTCGCAAGGGGTTCGATCCGTACCGGAAGAACTTGTTTCTAATTAATTTATTATTTTTCCTGTTGGTTGGAATATCGAAATTCTGCTGAATCACGAAGCACGTGAAAACTCCGTGAAGTTTAATCGCGTTTCGGTTTGTCTTTGAATTTCCGATCCAAAGTCAAATTTGTTTACATGTTAAGCGGCTGGGCTCTTTCATCTTCCATCGAGTGAACGCCACGCTGTTCTTAACATAAGTGCAGAGTTTCCGATGAAAGCTCTTCGCGCCGCGTGTCCGTGTGTGCGATTGAAACAGGACGCCACCTGCCTTTGTTTCGGCAAATGTCAGCGGAGGTCATCTAAATAAAGTTATACCCGAATGCCTCCGATCGCTGTCTAGACGTTGCGTTGCGTTGCATCGTCCGATCGATTGCACGAACCTCAGACGGTCGTCGACCCCGCGGGCGCATCGTGACGTTACGCTCCGGTGATGCGCTCGGCCCGTTTATTCACCCGTCAAAATATCACTCCACATCGCACCAACATTCCTTACTCGTGGCATTTGAAGACTTATCGGATGTGACCGCGGATGCTGCAAAATACGAGAAACGTCGGTCAATTAAACACTTGGTAAGTGTTTTATTATGACCGATGTTTACAATATGAACTAAAAGTGCCTAATTAACGAAAACACGAAATGTATAACTCATTTTATTCTTAATTACGCTCTGACGTGACTGCTGAGTAGTAGTAGTAGTTAATATGTTTTATTAACGGTTTAAAAAACGAAATGTTAAAGTCTACTTAGTTTTTACTACGATCTGACGTGATCGCGGCTGCCGTAAACCGTTAGAAACATCGGTCGTAAGTAGTTAGTAAACGATATAACTAATATATTTCGCATTAAACCGCTTCGAGTAAAATTGTTTACTCATAAATAACCATCTACAAATGAAAAAAAAACGTGTCTAATTAATGTAAACTTTAAACAACACCACAAAAAATAAACTTCTTACGTATTGTTTGCGCTTTTGTAAATAGCACTATTGAAAAAGAAACAATACTTTAAAATATTTCGTTCTTGGGATCGCTTTGTATCTTAAATGTTGAACAACAAATGTATAGTTTTTATGACGGCTTTGTCTAGGTAGCAATGCTCTATTAACCGATCGACTTGTCTGACCTCCAAGGACGCTTGAGAGCAGACGAGGCATTACCCAGTCGCAAATTTTACGTAATTACCTTTATCTATATACTCCGTAAATATTAAAATGTGTTACACGAATTGTTTATTAGTTTTACGCCTATCTACGTAACCTCGACCTAGGTTTTAGTGGGTCAACGTCCACTTATCTTTTGAGCCTTTTAAATTCATTCATATCGCAATTAAAAACAAAACACGGCCTTTATCTGTTACGACATGCTTACAATGGGTGGTGGGTTTACACTAGGGCCACGAAGGCACTGCAGATGGCGCTCTACGTGTCGCCGGGCTTCACGAGGGCGGCAGACGCGCATCTGCGGCTGGCTCTCATGTTCAAGGCGAGGAGGCACTGGGGCGCGGCCGCGGTCCACTTTCGTCGGGCGAAACTCGCCCCCCATCAGGACGCGACCTTCACGAGGCTGGAGATGAGTTTCCACGCGGCGCATCTGCTGGAGGCGAGAGGGCTGAAGAAGGCCGCGAGGGACGCCTACCAGAGGCTGCTCAAAGAACCGCAGCTCTCGTCCAGTCTTAAGGCGGATGTTTGCCGCCAGCTAGGTTGGTACCTTTTAAAATTAATACATAATATAATAATATGTTTCATAAGTTTGTTTGTTTGAATTCAATAATTAATGGTAACATTATTTTAACTAATCCAATATCAAATACTGTCTATAGTTTACGCGAGTAGTACACATTTAAATAAAACAACTTTAACACTTTAACTAAAACGTGGTAACGGGGAGACCTCCCCGTGACCACGGCTGCTGCAAAGCATCCGAAACGTCGGGCCGAAGTTAAAAATCATTTTCAAATAAGTTTAACCAATATATCGCGTTTTAAACCGTTAAAGTGTTTTATTTAAAAATATTTAAATCCAATATCGTACAGAAAAAAAAGAAAGTAATAAAAATGAAGAATTTATGTAAAATAATATAAAGCTGAAGTTTGTTTGAGAGCGCTCATTTTAAGAACTACTGGTCCGAATTGATTTTGGTTTAGTTAGAGTATTTATCGAGGAAGGCTTAAGGCAATCATTGATATAAGTCGTCGTACACGTCGTCGTCGAATTTTTTCAACCTATTAATGACGTGGATGTCAGTTTAAGTCCTGCCCATGTCGTAATTCTTTTTTAAATCTAAAGGTTTTATTTAGGTTAGTACAGCTTATATGGATAGGGGATTTGTTATGAAGGGCCTCTAACATATAGTTTCTTAATACTGTCTATAGTTTACGCGAGTAGTACACATTAAAAAAAAAACTTTAACTGTTTAAAACGTGAAATATATTAGTTCAACTTATTTATAATATAAAAGTTTAATTCTAATATATCGCGTTTGAACCGTTAAAATGTTTATTTAAATATAGTTTCTATGTTATAAAAACGCCCTATTGCTTCGATTGCTTGACGCAACTGAAGGAACGTCTGTATAGGTTGTTTATATGTAACTACGTCTTATAGACATGTTGCCACTGTAACTATGAACAGGTAATAATTTGTCATCTTCGATTATTGTTTTCTCGGTCCTTTAAGTTGAAATCGATTTATATACGATAAATTATATAAACGGACGTAATTTTAATTAGCGATACTATTCAATATTCCCAGGGAAACATAGAATTGTTTCGGTCAGGCAGGGCACAGAAGTCTTATCAACTACTTGTCCGTTAAAAGAATGGATCAGTGAAACGGACACAGAAATGTGTTCGCCCCATGCCCCACGAGGGGGGTTTTAACTTTTAACATCGATTTTCTATACAACAAATATTTTTACAAATATTTTGTAGTACGCTTAACAGAAATAACTGTAAACTGTAAGTCAATCTTAATATCCGATGAAAAATACAAATGATAACTGGAAAGCATTTTACTAAAACCAAATAAGCGAAGTTGGTTGATCATAAACAAACACCCTCGCTGTATTTCCGTGGGCGAGGGAAGCTTACCGGTTATGGCCCGATGTTATTTAATACACTGTGTAAACATATAACATACACAGACATACATACAACAAAATCACTTTGAATAAACGTCAAATGAAATTCAATAGTCAATGGTAACATATTCTTAAACTAATCCAATATAGAGCTAGATTTACTTTGGGAAAGAAAGAAAAAGAAAACACTTTAACTGTTCAAAACGCGCTATGTATATTTTAGTTAAACTGTAGTTGAATTTATTTTTTTTAACTACGGCCCGACGTTTCGGATGCTTTCCAGCAGCCGTGGTCACGGGGAGACTAACTAGTTAAACTAAAATATATCGTGTTTTAAACCGTTAAAGTGTTTTATTTAGATGTGTACTACTCGCGTAAACTACAGTATTTAAGTTAGTTTTCCTTTATAACACGTCAATGGTTAGATTCATTAATATAATAATAAATAATAGATAAAATTGTATACTATTCATTTTATTGGTTTAATATAAACGCGTTACACGTTGCGTAGGGTTCGATTCCCGAAGGAATAAACGGTTTGTAATGTAAAATATAGTGCGCGGGATACCTTTAATCTGTTTATCTATTTGTCTGTAAACGCAGACGATCGCTAATACCGACACAGAAATATGTCTATAGGTTGCCTCAGCACTTTAGTTCTTTTGTTGTATTCGGAAATTATTATTACACCAGCTTATTAGTGTAATGTTGTTCCTTGATTTTCTCATTACAATCACGTACTTGAACAATAAGGAATGTTCTCAGGCTGGCTGTATCACCGCTGCGCGTCATTGGACGAGCCAGCTGCGCGCGCGCGTGCAGCTATTTGGTGTCTGCAGCGCGCCGTCGCGGCGGAACCAGACTCCGGCGCCGGGCTATACCTACTCGGGAGGTGCTTCGCGGCCCAAGGGAAGGTCCACGATGCGTTCATAGCCTATCGGAACTCCGTTGAGAAGTCGGAGGGCAACGCGGATACCTGGTGCTCTATTGGGTGCGTGATACTTCATTTATTTATTATTTATATATACTTTTAACGGTTTAAAACGCAAAATATATATTAATTTACGAAACTACGACTTGTTGTTTCATAAATTTAGTCGCGTTAGTTGTTTGGGTCCACTAATCTGCAGTGAAGCAGCGCGGTGGGCTCTTAATACCCACTCCTATACGAGAGAAGTGGGCCGTAAGACGAGGTTTATGTGTTAATACACTCATATTAATTTTTGTGAAACGCAATATCTAGTGTTTCTCACCAATAAATTTTTATGTTTTTATATAATTAAGAGCGGATGTAAAATAGATACGAAAGCGGACGTGTAGGATTCTGATAGCTGATAGCCATTTACTTGTCGAATTTAAAGTCGTGTCCAATACCGTTTATACATTTCCGCGTGAATAATGAGTAATACTTTGCCCAAATAGGATGATAAGTTCATTTATAATAGATATGGTTTGAAGAAGGTTGTTTTCCACTAATATTCGTTGTTTGGTAAATTGCATTTTACTGAATGCATATCCATCAAAAAACCATTCTCTGTAATTTTAATTACAAACTTCTTGACGTTTTAAACGATATTGTTTTTTTATTTCACTTTTTACTATGACCCAACGGCCTTCCTAATTTCAAAACTAAATCTACGCTAGACAAATCAAATACCGCTAGCTAGTTTTAAAGATTTTTTAGATTGACATTTTTAGAATATGAAAATATAAATAACTCACGTCATAAAATTGCAGTTAGGCTACTCTGCCTGTAGCGGTCTCATATGATACTATAACGAATTCTGCTAGTGTACACCGTTCTCTATTTAACTTCGAGAACGATGGTTATATTCGAGAATATTGTTTATGGTACGATGTCTAACGGTACCCAAGTACGAACCAAATAAAGGCAGGTCATATTTACCATTTCTAGAACCGGTTGAACTCTAACTCTTAACTTCACAATCAAACATCTGTTTTTTAAATTCAGTATAATGCAAAGTATAATGGTCTCGTTTGGTAATCGTAAAAAGTAATAATATTACAATATTGTTTTACGTTACACGAAAAAAAAACTGAACTTTAATATGTCAATTGGTATGCGCCGGAATTCCGTACGCGTCAGGTACTATCATCCACAACTGGAAAATCGGTGGAATGTAAATATATATGTGTTTCGGCTCGACATCGCATCTTGTCTAAAGGTAAACGATGAGATCGCTTTGTACCCACGAATAGTTTTTCTTAGACCTTAAACTGATGATCATTCTTTAAATGTCTGTAGTTTACGCGAGTAGTACACATTTAAAAATAACGCTTTAACTGTTTTAAACGCGATATGTATCAGTTAAAATATGTATCAGTCTCTTTGGAAATTAGTTTAACCACGGCCCTGTTTTCCTTGCGGCTTTGCAGCATCTGTGATCACGTCGAGACTGATGATGGAGGGCGTTTCACTAATATATATCGCGTTTTAAACCGTTAAAGTGTTTTATTGAAATGTCTACTACTCGCGTAAACTACAGTAAAGATAGTTTTGTTAACTTCAGATGTTTATAACTTAATATAGCATGAGATTCTTTCTTCTAGAGTCCTCTATCAGCAGCAAAATCAGCCCATGGACGCGCTGCAAGCGTACATATGCGCGGTGCAGCTGGACAAAGGCCATTCGGCAGCATGGACCAACCTCGGCAGCTTGTACGAGAGCTGCCAGATGCCCCGGGACGCCTTCGCGTGTTATAACAACGGCGGGTCCGCGGCAACAGCTTCGAACACAGCGCTGCGGCAACGGCTGGCGTTCCTGCGTGCTCATCTTGCGCATGCGCCGATGCCTTCGGTAACGGGAAAGTGAGTGAAGTTAAACATTGTTTTCTAATCGAGGTATTAAAGTGCTGGAAGTGAAATTCCCAATGAGGAGAATGAGGTAAGCGTTTGTGTGTATTGCCAAAAATTCTTTACATAATAGTAGATCAAACGTAGCGATAGCCCGTGAACCCTTGGCCTGGGTAGGTAGATCAGATACCTAAATATATATTATTATGTAGAATCTATACGTAAATATTCAGGTAGATTCAACAATTAAATCACTATCAACGTCTTCAGGTGCTCACTTGTAGAGAGGATACTTAAATATTTTTAATAAAAAATAAATTTTCACAACAAATATAACAAACATAGCGCTTAACAAACGCTATATCGCTGTCGGCATATAATCCTGTTGTCGTACTGACCCATATTCTATTAGGCTTCACTGAAATGAGTAATTAAAAATACGAGGCCGTGACTCGAACCTATATACGCAGCATGCTTTTCCACCAGTGGGACTACTTTTTTTTTACATGAATCATAATTTTTTAGTATCAGTATTATACCGCCTCTGTAGCTAAATGGTTTAACGTATTTCCTACCATTGCTTTAAGCGCGAGAGGTCCTGGGTTCTAATCCCAGGGAAACATAAAATTGTTTCGGTCGGGCAGGGCAAAGTCTGATCAACTATGTTAGTAAAACTTTACTTTGACGTCAGAGACACCCTCCATCTTTAGTCTACCACCATGACTGCTGCTAAGCATCCGAAACCTTGCGTTTATCTAATATATATCGCAGTTTAAACAGATAAATTGATTTTAAATATGTACTCGTGTAAACTACAGACAGTATTTACCGCCTATAGTAAATACACAAAGAGCTCTTTGACACTTTAATAATATTTATAAAAAAAACTCTGAACGCCGACGCGAAGTCGTTTTCAGTTAATTAGTATATCTCTATGCAAATTAACTGTGTAATATTAAAATTCACGCAAAGACCTTGATTGTGACTCGCAGACTTATTAAGGACCGTGCTATGTACAATATTCAACTCACGAAATAAATCGTCATAATTCATAACAGTCTTAAAATAAATGGTATTGAGGACGGTTGCTTCCGTGTTTACAGACGGCGTCCGCTGCCATCTATCGAGGAGGCGTGGAACCTTCCCATTTCAGCGGAGATGTCTTCGCGTGCCCCGAAATCCGCGCCTCCACCGTACCCCGGTAAACGGAGCGGAAGTACAAGCGGTACCGGAACCGGTTCTGAGGATACACCCGCCCTGACGCCGCATCAGCTGCAGACCTTGCAACACCTGCAGAGGAACTCGCACAACTTGTCTCCACACCAACAAGTACAACATTCTTTGGATTTTAAACATTTTTGACATACCATGGGTTAACTATTCGATGACTCAGCTTAGTCATATTATAACCTTAAAATAATGTCACCTGTACCTAGGATCGTAAACCGTTAATATTGTATTGTATTTCGAATCAACGTGGTATATACGCTAGATGTAGTATATAGTACAAGAAAATACAATATTTCAAAGAAAACCTTATTTGTGAACGTGCTCCTGCATTTACTTTTACTGATATTTATTTATGAAAAATACTATATTATTAAAAAAAAATGACTAACGGTTTACGGTTACGGTAAATCATTTTCAAATATCGCGAAACTAATATATCGCGTTTTAAACCGTTAGTCATTTTTTAAAATAATATAGTATTTTTCATAAATAAATAACATTTAACAAGTTTTAAGCATTAACTTGACGTCTAGTTTTTTTCAGTGACTTGTAAATTCAACTTTAGGCTCTAATTGTTTTGTTGCTAAAACAATGATAAATTGTTTCAGGCCATGATGCAGCAGCTGCTGTCTCAATATCGACAATCGCAGGCTGCGAGAGCTCGCGCGGTTTGTATCCCTTTCCCCCTCCCACTCTTCCTCTAATAATGGCGGCAGGTTTTAGGATTAGTCAATATTTCATAAACATATGTGTATGTATTGTAGAGTGTCTTTAGTAGCATAGTATTAATGTCTTATTACTTTTGTAGGTAACGAAAAGTGACACTAGCGCGAGCAGCGGCGACAATGCCGAGTCGCTGGCTGAAGACCTGCTCAAGAAGTTCGCGGACACACAGTCCGATGTCAAAAAGGAAGCAGCAACACGTAAGTCAATTTATGCTGCCTCTTAGAACAAAACATTCTGTTGAGTGAAATGATAAAATATAATAGTTACGTAATTATTAAATACGACCCGTCGTTTTGGATAGTTTATACAGCTAATCTTGTTGAAACTTTTTATTTAGTGTGTACCACTCTCGTATGTTTTTTTTTATAATAGAGCAGGCTGTAGTATTTATCACCTTCCATCTAAGTCCCATTCCACCTTAAGCTCGTCTGTAAACATGCTGTTCACACAGATTCTAAACTTCACGACTTATCTGTTTGTGATTTGTGAGCGGAATTTTGATATTCCTACCATCCCTATCAGATCCAAATTTCCGGTCGAAGTCCATGATTCGAAAAAATATAAATTGATTAAAAATATGTTGGACACTGTGGGGTTGACACTTTTACTTATTAGTTACACTTTGCTACCGTTAAGTCTGAATTTTTTTATGATTTCTTTAGTTCAATTTTTCTTAATAAAAAATATCTGGTTTATATACCTTATAATACCAATATGGGCTTCATGCTTATACAAAACATCTGTGCACATAAAGAAAATTTTATATAGAGAAAATGTATAGTGAATTTAAAGGACTTGTTTACAAAATAACCTCTACCTTTTCTCGATCGTTGTTTGATCAAATTATCTAATATATATATTTAAAGAAATAAATTGAACAAAAATAATTAAAAAGGAGTACCTATTTGAAATAAAGTTTTCTCTTTATTCATATAAGTCACTAAATGACACATTGGTTTTCATTGTAAATTGAAAATTATTATAACGAATTCAAAGTTTCTGCAATTGGAGAATGTTAAAAATAATAGCGGATAACAAGTAAGATTTTAAAACAAATCAAATCAAAAATCTTTATTGTTTTTATTCAACCAGTTTTTATCTACAAAAATCGATAACGTTGAGTTGTTTTAGTTTTATACAACCATGTAGCTCGTTTGTCTTATGTTAGCAATGTATAGCAATTATCTACGGGTCGCGGGTTCAATACCGGTCCAATTGTTTCTAATCCAATTTATAATTTTTCTGAAATATATTGAACTTGGTTTGTAAATCTGGATATTAAACTAGTGGGAATATGAAAGTCCGTCCGGGTCACGAACGAACGTCCACAGATGAAAAAGCCATCAGGTTTAATCGCGTTTAGGTTTCCCTAATTTCCGAATATCCAAAGCCAAAAATAGGTCGATACTTGGTATCAAGTGAAATTCATTCTTGTCTGTTTTCCTCTATCATAAAAAAAAACAAATATTGGTTTTTCCCCTACGTAGGTTTAAGGGAAAATCGGATTGGTTACATTATACATTGGATAGCATTAATATAAAATGCAGGTGATTCGGTCTATTTGTCGCGGAGTAGATGTCTTGCAATCGTAGTAGGGAAAGAGGGTCCTTCGTGCCAATATTAAACTCATTTTGTTGTTCTTTTAGAGATAGAATCACACAATACATCTTTTTTACATATTATTATTCTTGTATGAATATAATATGTTGATTTGTTATGTTAGTCTCTTACTGGGAAATCACCTATTGGAAAAAATATCCCTCGTTCACCTTAGTTATCACAGGTTTTATAGATGGATGGTCTTCAATTTTGGTTTCTTATTTCTTCAGCGGATTCCGCGAACAGCAGCAGCGAGGCAGTATTAGGTGGACGGCAGGCGGTCGTGAAGCTGGAGCCACTTAAGACTGATCCCTTGAAACCGCTCACATTTAACATCACCATGAATGCCAAGCAGATACTTGATGCGTGCAAGTAAGTATATTCGTAACAATATTTGCATTGTTTAAACCATTACTAGCTAATGGAACATGATTTAATTATTTAGTCTTGCTTAGGTTGAAAAAAAAAGAGAGTCAAATTAACATAAGTCTGCGATATGATTTGGCTAAGTTTGCGATGTCTTCCTTTCCAGAGATAACGCGGGACCTGCATCGTCGTGGTCAGTACTAGGCGATGGCTGCGGTCCACCGGATCCCCCATCTGTGCCACCTCCACGCCTCTCCCCGGAACAACTTGCCCCTCCCGCCCCATTCGTCTACGTCGAGTCTAAGCGAGATGCCTTCTCTCCACAACTGCAGGACTTCTGCCTTAAGCACCCCATCGCAGTCGTCCGTGGCCTCACAGCGGCCCTCAAACTTGATCTCGGTCTATTTTCTACGAAGACCTTGGTCGAAGCGTGGCCAGATCACGCGGTGGAAGTCCGCACCCAACTGATGCAATCTGCCGACGAGAATTGGGACCCTAGCGGCAGACGTCGGGTGTGGGCTTGTGCGTCACACCGTTCACACACTACAGTCCGCAAGTACGCTCAGTATCAAGCCGGGTCTTTCCAAGATTCGTTGAGGGAGGAGCGAGAAAGGGGCGTCGCCCCACACCACACGGGAGGAACTCTCTCCGATTCGGACGGTCGCGAATCCGGATCGGGACCGGTCAAACGACGTCGCGGTGCGCGAATGCTCCGTTTCGGAACCAACGTTGACCTCTCCGATGAAAGAAAATGGCGGCCGCAGTTAACTGAGCTGCAAAAACTACCGGCGTTCGCGCGTGTCGCTTCAGCGGCTAATATGCTCTCGCACGTCGGCCACGTCATACTCGGCATGAACACAGTGCAGCTGTATATGAAAGTGCCCGGAAGCCGAACGCCCGGTCATCAGGAGAACAACAATTTCTGCTCTATAAATATCAACATTGGCCCGGGCGATTGCGAATGGTTCGGGGTGCCAGACGCCTACTGGGGAGGAGTCAAAGAGCTGTGCGATAGGCACGGGCTCTCCTACTTGCACGGGTCATGGTGGCCCGACCCGGAGGAGCTTCGCGCTCACGGCGTACCGGTTTACAGATTCACTCAGAGACCTGGAGACTTGGTATGGGTGAACGCGGGCTGTGTGCACTGGGTGCAAGCCACCGGCTGGTGCAACAATATCGCCTGGAACGTGGGACCCCTCACCGCGCGTCAGTACGCCCTCGCCCTGGAACGCTACGAGTGGAACAAAGTGCAAAACTTCAAGTCGATAGTTCCTATGGTACATCTGACGTGGAATTTGGCGAGGAACATTCGAGTGTCGGACCCGAGGCTGCACAGAGCTATGAGGACCTGCTTGATGCAGACGCTACGCGCGGCCGCGGGCACCTTGAACGCGGTGCGCTCTCGCGGCGTGCCCATTCGCTTCCACGGAAGGGCGAGGGGTGAGGCGTCGCACTATTGCGGGGCGTGCGAACGGGAGGTGTGGCACGCGTTGTTGGTGCGCGAACACGAGAAACGTCACGTGGTCCACTGTCTGGCGTGCGCACGACGCGCGAGTCCAACCCTGCAAGGCTTCTTGTGTCTCGAAGAGCACCACATGGAGGAGTTAGCGCAAGTGTACGACGCGTTCAACCTCCACCGTCCCGCGCCGCCACCGCTGCACACGCCCGCGCTGGTGTCCACTCCGGACTGATCGCCCGAGGATTCGCTCTAGGCTGCTCCCAACACCGAACCTGGAACCAAATAGTTCGCCACACATATACGCGAGCCGGTGGCTTCGCACGGTTCGTCGTCGATGTACCTGTATTTATTGTGTGAGAGTGTACGATGTCGCTTACCCCTCCTTTAGTTCGCGATCCGATTTGGACGTTCGCCGGTTTCGGAGTTTCCAGGTAGCAACGCGCTAGTTGAGTCCCACGTCGATACGTAAACTTGTCGTTTGACCAATGTAAGATATTTAAGCTACGTATCTAATCTATTTTTAATACGCGACGCGCGAGTGTAGTCGCCCCGAGTGGTATTTTGCCGACGAAGTAATTTTGTATCTAGTTAAAGTTTACACTTTACACGCTCCTCGATGACTTTAGTAATTGTGCGAGATTATTATAAACGAAAAGTCAATTTGTCGGCAGTTAGCTGCGACTTAGATGTACGATTAGTCTTAGCGGCGACCTCGAAACGAATAGGGTTGGAAGTCGAGTGTAGTTTCAGTTTGTCAGTCGAGTGCGGAGTGCGGAGCGGGGAGGTCGGCCCACAATGGTCTCATGTGCTCAGGTGTTCACCACATTTACTGTATTTTTTATAGAAGCATATTATTTATTTTTAATTTTTATTTGAATGGAATAGGTTAGTCTGCGTAGCGAATACTATCAGTAAGATTAAGAGGCACGGCTGAGGCTCTGCGTTTTAGGAGGGTCTGGTGAATAGTGCTGACGTGTCCCAAAGAATGTTGATATCGGAAGTTGATATTTGGCGAAATGAACGCTCGTTTCGGATTAAGATTGTACTGAACGACCTCTGCGAGAATAATATTTTCCGACGCATGTTTGTTCTATAAATGCTATCAACGCAGAGGCAGTATAAACTTAGGGTAGTGACACATACGGTATAATCGTGTCTGTGGGTGGGTGCATGCAAAATTTTATTCAAGTGTTATGCATTTGAAATGCTGTGTGTTCACCAGCCCTTGCTACCGTCGTGTAGGAAAGATAGTAAAATTTGGATTGGATTGTAAAGTATTTAGAATTAATTGTATGTGGCTCGGTGTAAGCCGATGTAGTAAATGGAGATTGTAAGGACAGTACCAGCGGTATAGGATTTTTCCAACATTGCAAAACGCTTATTTCACTTAGTTCGAAATCAAATTTGGCGAAAACTCTTATACCATTGGTCCAGGGCCCTCGGCACAGCTCGTTGGTTATTTCTTTCGAAGTTTTATGTATGTTGGTGAGATGTATGTTAGTCGTGTCGAGGGCAGGGCGGGTCGAAATGCTGGCGAAGGGAGTGTTGGTTTGTATAGCGAATACCGATATTTTATTATACTGTAACATCACTGCCATGTATGACCTTACTGTTTATACTGTAATATTAAATTTTTATTAAACGTGTAATATGGAGAATGTCTACTTTATTGCGTAACACCTTGAATCAACACTAGTAATTTATAAATTATAATATTGACCAATAAACAAATCTTTGCCGAAAAATGACACATTTTTTAAACACTAGGAAAGTACATCTACACCTTAATCACAATTTACGGCTCTATGATTCGGATGCTTTGCAGCATGTTCACGACTGACAGCAGACAGAAGATGGATGCCAAAGTCAAATCTGTTACGCTGGCACCACCTGTTTCGCCGTGCCGTAGTCAAGATAAATTAACAATTTCGCGCTTAAACCGTTGTGGATTGGCTCGTCTGTCATTTCTCGTTGACAGTTTGTCAAACGTCAATGTCATTATCGACCATACTTAAGTCACACGTGTGACTTGACGTTTTCGCATGTTCCTTACGAGTGTTAAATAAACTTTCAGTCGATGTGGTAAAATAGATGGCAGCACTGTAACACGGCCATCACAACATGAGGCGGTTGGGTCACCCGGTTTATAATTACCATCTCCGACACATAAATTTATCATGAACCAAGAAACAGAAGCGATTGAAACGTTAAACACGTCGTTTTTATTTATTTCTACAATCACAAACGTCACTATTAAATCTTAAAATCGGGGATACATCGAATAATATTTATACACATAGTTAATGAATCCCCAAGATCACAAACGGCTAAAGCATAAATGATAAAATTCAAATCACAAGGCGATAGTAACATAGTCCAGGCGATTGTAGTATGGTTAAATATCTGTTCTATTACTTACGTGTACATTTGTTTAAATAATCTGTTTAAGTAAGCTTTCATAGCACCTAAGTTTATTTCATTATAATGTTTATGGCGATAGTATATTTACAGTATTCATATTCACTGTAATAAAACACTTACTTCCTAGTGAATGTAAATACATACAATGCTTTATAAAATAGATTCTTACATACAACTAATAATAAAGAGAGCATGGAATGAATCCAAATAAAATGCAGATCATATTAAAATATTACGTATTACATAACTATTTTAATAAAACAATTAACGGTTTAAAACGCGAAGTATTTCACCGTCACAAATCATTATTCCTTATTTATACCGTTCACAGTTGTTTTATTTGCGTACTGCACAAGTAAACTGCAAATACTTATACTATTTTTAGTAAAAAATAACTATTTTTTTAATTCTTTCGTTTGGCATTACAATTGCACATAATATTAATTCTAAACAATTTACGGAAAATAGATGCGTAATTTAGGAAATCCATTACTATACAATGTTATACATATGATTAAAAATAAGTAGTTCGGAATGAATACATAGGTATACATACAAAAATTCCTTTCAAAATGGAAGACAGCGAAGAATAGCCCTTTATATATAACTTAAACCTAATAGGCCTTATAAGAACATCCTTAGTAACTTAAGTATGGAATTAGGTATTACTTTTAAGTTAAAAACATCTTAATTACATATGACATTTATGAAGTTCCATCTTATATTTTATTTCTTTTAATTTTTCCTACGGGCCCATCCGATACAAACTATATGTGAAAAAAAAACAGGTGGTGCGTTATGGTTAAAATGTGAAGGACCGACCTGAAAGTAAATGTTGAAGGACACCATACCATAACTATTATTATTAATAACATATTTTCTTATTTTTTGAATAAAAACATACAAAACAATAAGAAAATGACGATTCCAATATTTGTGCATAGCTAAAACTTGAGCATAGAGCCACCACACAGATATGTTGTAACTTTAAGATTATAGAGGGTTTTTAGTGTTCCGTATGCGAAATGGGACTCCGTTATTAATAATTAACAGTTTTTATTAGTAATTCTACAAAATATGTACTCATATCTGTTGTCGGAACTAAATTCCTTACACCGTAGCAAAAAGGGGTTAGATGGAAAAAATTGAGGCTAAAAGTTGTACCAGACTTTTTGCAAGCCGTGGCGTGCACGTGTCTCTATATATCTCTAATAGAAAGGATACCAGATTATTTCCGTTTCATCTTTATATATCGCATTGACAATGTGGTGTCGCGACGATTACTTTACTTGACATGATCACAAGCCAATTATTACTAAAATTGAGTCTACTGACATAATAACAATTATAGCAAAAGGAAGCCACTAGGAAAAGCTACAAAAATGTATTGTAACCATTTTGGCTATTGAAGAGCCGACTGTTTACCTAGTTCGGAATCATACGGAACCTATCGTGCGTACATTCCACTCGCTCTTGGCCGCTTGCAGGCGTGCAGGATGTGCTAGTTTATAACAATAGTATATTTGTGCATACACTTATAGAATATCGTCATTATTGGTAATGCATTTACAAAAATATATGACAATAAAAATCTATGTGCCGCAAGGTGCACTAAGTGCAACATTACATTTGCCATCTAAACAATTAAGATTATTTTACAATTATATCTGTACATAAACATTTTAGGAAACGTCCTCCTTCCGTCCTTTTTATCCCACGGCTGGGTGTTTATTTCATAGAAGGGTGGGTTCATAATTAGCGCTATCGAGGGGCGTCCAAGGACGTCCTAGCTTACAACTAAAAATCACTTTCGTCAAACTACCCTCATTTTAAAGCTTCAATTCATTTCACGTGTCTAATGCACTCTCTATTTAGGAAATATTTAATTATATATAATCTTAAGCATTTATATATTTTGTTGTCTATAAAAATCTATTTCAATTTATAAGAAATTGCGACCCCGGCGGGTTTATACTTTTCATGTTTTTGCATTGGTGTTATATAAATTGAGATGGATTTTAAATTGAAAACAATTACAAGGTTGGGAGGACTTGAACCGGCGTTCATAGCGTCCCGTGCTGTTGCAATAACGATACGGTAGCTCAATTGGTTAGCAGCACGGTATAGAAATAACATGTGAAAAATTTAAAATTATTAGGAAAACCGCTTGCATATAATCCTTTATATAGCCGACATGGAAATCAAATATTATTACTTAGTGAAATCGGACTATAACATAAAACTGAAAACTTAGTCCTGGTTTTTCACTCGAATTTGTGGAGGATTTTCTTTCAATACGTGTAGCCATACCTTCCATGGCTGCTCACGGATCAAGAACGAATGACTGGTTTGCGCAGGAGTAGTGCTGAGTCAGCAGACACGATGGGCAACTCGTTGGTGCAGTGGTATTTTATCAGATGCGGGACGCTCTCGAACACGCGGTCTTTGGTTCGAACCTGAAACAAATTGAGTTTCAGATGAGAGCTTCAAGCTAAAAGTGTAAGATCATGTTGGTATTTTTGATTCTGAACCCCGAGTTGCCACTAAGTTTCGTGTTAATTTTAAGACATTTTGTTTCCTTTCTTTTTAAAAATAAAGCCAATGCAAACAATTTGCTATGATATAATTAAACATGAAATAAATACTTACAATGCCGTTTGGATCGACAAGCAGCAAATGCTTGTGCGCCCCGCGACGAGCGCCAGTCAAGACAAACTGACCTGGACACGCACTGGATTCTCTCACTAGGAACTGACCGTCCTCCACCACAAGCTGAAAGAGCCAAATAACATTATTAATATTGCATCAATACCGTCCACGCCATAAGAGTCAAATAACTAATAAACAACATTTGTGCCAAAAAATCTCCTTGTAAGCCTAAACCAGCTTAAATTTATTGACATCAAATAATTTCGTTTTTATGGAAGTTCATTTTAACATGAATTTCTTTTGTTTTAATATAATTATAAAAAATATATTGTATAATTGTAATTTAATATCAAATAATTATAAAATATTAAACTTTATGATTTCATTATAAAAAAATATAATTAAATTATAAAGTTTAATAAACACTTTTCACGTGTGATTTCATACATGGCAATATTAAATAAATAAAAAAGTAATTAAAATTGTAAGTCTAAAAAGATTGAAAATTGTAAACTCTCAATCGCGATCCTTAAATTGGCTATTGACAGACAGACCATGACACTATGCGTAGCAACAAACAAAACCTTATAATGTAATAAGCATGTACTTGAAGTGTTATCATACCTTCTCAGCAGCGCTCCGAGATATGGGTCCGTGGAACCAGGGCTCTCGCGCCAGCAAAGCAGCTTGGGCACTTGGGCCTAATGGTTCTTCGGTGGCCGCTGGTGACGTCGCAGGGGACGTCGACGATGACGTCATAGGCGCTGCCGTAAATGGCTCTGAAATATAGAAATAGTATACAATATAAGTTTGTCTATTGAGGCAATATGTAAAATGTATGTTTTTCTAAATAAGTGAGAAAGTTGAACATATAAAGTCTTGTAATGACATAGTTGTTTTATTTTATTAAAAATATAGTTAAACATTTACTGTTTTGCATAAGGCATAGAAGTATTTTTAAGTGACAAAGTGCTTATTTATTAGTATACATGAATGTTAAGAATAATTCCTTAAATTACTTTATATTTTTGTTGACTTACGCATATCAAAGATATCAGTGTGATGGTTTGGCAACAAAGCAGTCGGTGGTGTCCTGGGAGGAGGCGTTTGGTTCACATAGTGTCTGACACTTTCCTCACACCTGTCAAAAGAAATCACTTGTGTTTATGGTCGATCAGGAGATGAAAATAGTAAACATACAAAAAATGAGAAATCCTTCATCGCCCACAGGGGGAATGGGCATGGCATAGGCTGGTCATGTTTAGGGGTACAAATCATTTAACTATTTTATTATATTTTTATAGGCCGGACGCCTATTAGCCGGTGTTCTAGCTTGTAGTCCCAATGTACTTTAGTTAAGCAAAACATTCACTTGAATACAAGTTAAATAATTAATCATTTTTGCTTTTTATAAATGCGTTTGCGCATTCCCGATTTTTGCCTAGGTAGTATGTAGACTACAAATATTTCGAAAAACAAAATGCAAATCCAAGCACAATACTTGTATTAAATTATTAACCAATATATCTACTTAATTTTGCAAGGTAAAACAACTTACGATGATATAGGTGGAAGTGACGCCAGCGGTGGTGGTGGTGGATGCCTGTGTTGCGATATTGGTGGTACGGGTTCTGGTGGCATTTTATCTGGCATGTCATTGTAGTATTCTCTGTCTTCCAAAGAATTTGTTATATCGCTAGCTACCGTGCTGTGTGTTCGTGCTGCCCCATTAATATTCAACCTAATAACATATTGTCTACTTAATGTTGCTGTCGTTTAGGGTGCGCATAGCAGATTATTAATTAGTATCAACAAATTTTATGTTAGGAATCAAGAATCAAATGAAGCCTAGTCTGTAAAAACTAAATTCAATCCAAAAATCACTGTATATTGTGTAGGGTAAATAAAAAAAGAAAATGAAAGTAAATAAAAAAAAAATAATAATAAAAATATGCATTTTTATTATTATTTTTTTTTTATTAAAATCAATAATTAAAATCTAGACCTTAATGTCAACAAGTAATTAAAATTTTACTTAATTTGTTAACACATTTTTATTGTAAGATGTGACATATAAAGAATGTGTCCATTGACATTTTACTGATAGTCTTTATAGTAAAGGAAAATACTATGTGTCTTCTTTAGGTAATTATTTTCAAAATTTTTTAACAAGGGCCAACTAAGTACCTTTGCATATTTGGAATGTTGTCATAACTTATTCAGGAAGAATATGAATCACTCAAGGATATTGAGCTTAAATAAAGATGACTCAACAATCAATTTGGCCATGTAGAACAGTTGACATAGCTAAAGAACATGACATATTGAACTCTCACTTACGATGCTGGTTTTGTAAGAAATTCCTTAAATCTTAATTCAAATGCTTGTCCTATAGTAGCTATCACGTCTTGTGCTAGTCGGCCTCCACACTCTAGTACATAGCAGGCTCTCCACTCGGTGGGGGGTACTGACTTAGCCACATATGCCACAAAATCTAATGAATCCTGTAAAGTAAAGGGTCACCTACAAAACATGCTTCAGCCAGGACTTTTGTATAGTACTGGGACAGTAATTATAGTATACAGTATTATTTGTAAATTGTGGCAATAACTTTAATTTGTGCCATAAAATAGTTCCTTTAATTTTGAATTGTTGTATCTATACAACCTCTATTATTATTTAAAATCAAGCCATACACCACAGGAACAATAAAAGAACGTTAGGAACAAACCTGATCACCACCAGATGCAAATGAAACTCGTGGCATATCATGGCGAGCTATAGTCTCGCCTCCTTCTAACGCAGCAAGAGTGATAGCTCGGGAAGATACAGTTAGTGCAACATTTGAGCCGGAATGTGCCATGCGCGGTCTAGCAGCAAGTGCACAGGCAGCTGCTTGACAGATGCGACGTTTTTTATCTGCTGACCTCAATCCTGCAGCGGCACATACTCTTGCTATACATTCTCTGAAATCGATAACGTCATTCCAGTACTAATGCTAACAACTTACAACTTTGAAGAAAGTTCTTTACTTACTTGGCAACTTGTGAACGCGTCTCGAAATCTAGTTTTTTCATTGAAGTCAACACTTCCATACAACCTATGTACTGCAAAAGGAAGTAGGAGTAAGTAAGGAAGTAGATGATGGCAATCCATTATTTATTATTAGGAACAGATAACTTACTCGAACTGCGTACGTGATTCCGTCGCTGGCTAAAACAGAATCTGGGTGAAGCCACCCCCTTGCCGGTTTCGATACAAACGGTCCGTCCTCAGCCATATCGATAATTTTCCGGGAGTGATACTCAATCGCTATTATGCCTACTTTAAATGTTATAAACTTTCATTGTGATTCAAATTAATTCAGGTCGTCATTGTATTGATGTAAAAATTATAACGGTAACATTTAAAGATTATAAGGAGCACAAACAAGTGAATGATCAAGAATAAGTTTTAGAATTGTAGGCCGTAGAATAAGTTTTGTACTGTACTTAATTTCCTTTTTATATTTTAACTTATAAGTATAATAACTCACATAAAATAACTATACAAGTTTTTTTCTTATTTGTATTAGTGACAGTCACAAATGTCAGATGACTGTTGAAGTTTGACGTACAGAATCGGTGAGACACAGAATCGTTGATTGTAATCGATTAAATATCGATTCGATTGATAGTTCTCACTAGATCAAACAATATTAAAATAGTTTTATTATTTTAATATATCTTAATATAAGAACTAAAAGTATTTTAAACGTAAAAGTTTTTTTTTGTTTTATATTATCGATATCGATACTGCTATACGTAATGTTATGTTAGCTTTATTTAAATTATCTAACTGTGTAATGTGTCACATATTGTAAAATAATGAGTAAATAGATAAAATCTCTGACTGTGTTATTTATCCATGTGACCAGCGTAGTAGACGAAAGTCTACGACATACAATTTAGGAAGCTCACGTTCTAGTAGTGGGAATTATTGAAGCCCTGATGATAAGTCTCTCGAGTCTACTACCGTGTTTTACAAAACACATGAAGGATATTAATAAAAAATCCATTTATTAATTTCCGAATGTGCAAAGCCAATATAGGTGGACTAGACATCGGTTTGAAGTGTTATATAGCTGAAGTATTTAACTTTCCATCAATTGAATCTATCATGAAAAAAACAACTACCTAATTAATAAGGTTGAAGAGTATGCTAGTTTGTTTAAACGCGGTAATCTTAGGAATTATTTTTGTGTTGGTTAAAACAATTATTGAGGAAGGTTACAAAACACGGCGCTGCGACTAATAGGAGCGAAGAAAAGGGCGAAATTATTCATCCTTGTAGCTTTCTGGTTCTTACGCTGGGAAAACGGTTAATGAAACCAAAAAAAAACATGTATGAAAAAATGATTTCTGTTTGAATCATCTAAAAACATTTCCACGACATTATACGTCTATCTTTTAAGATTAACTTGCAAAAACGACAGGACGCGTCCGACGTTGTGGGCTTAAACTTATAAAGATAAAAAGGAGATTTACAGAAACAAATTTGGATGCCCAAAATAACTATTCTATGCGGACGAAGTCGCTTCACACAGTTAGTATGTATATACACACTAAAATTTTCAGAGAGACACATTCGTTTGGACATATAGGTATCAGGTACCTGTATGAAGTTATGAATCCATTTCCGGACATTGATGAGAGTCTCGAAAGGCATTCCAATAAACGTTGGAATTTGTTGACACTTTTTTTCAGCGTTAAAAGTTTAACTATTAGTATTTATATAGCGAATTCATTCTGCATTATAATGATTACCAAAAAAGTCTGCAAAAAATACTATATTAATATAAAACTGATCTCTCAACCGCAGTACATCGATCGCACCCATTTTAATAATAACAATCGGAACAAAAAACCGTCATTTGCGGAATTTGCGAAGTCAGCGGTGGATAAACGGTTACTTTTATTGTCAAATCTACCCCCGGATATTAACGAAAGAGCCGCCACGAGAGTCGAGGCCGTGCCTCTGGGCTGCTTTTACACTGTTAAGTAATAAATTATGAATCTGCTACCTCTCGACGACCATTATTAGTATTGGTGCCTTGTGGGATACAAAACGTTTTATTACATTATCCAGCCAGGTGTTAGGATAACGAAAAATACCTAAATAGTAATAACAAGAATGTACATATTAACGCTACAAAATATAATTTAAAAGATAATAGTGTAATATTAAAAGATTTCATAGATACATATTTGGTAGGAAATTTTAAATTATTTGATATATGCACTTTTTATTTATTGAACGCAAATAATTAACTTGAACAATCATTAAAATGTCTTTAATTTGAATATAATTATAAAAACAGTTATATTCACATTATAGCCATAGGTGTCAATTATTTTATATCTACTGAACGCAAGTTATTTATTTATAGTAAGAAGCTTTATTATTAAAATGGCTTTAATTATATTAATAAATAATTATTCTATAAATATTAATCAAACAGCAATTTTTATCTAGTAAACGATTTCACTGTGAAACTAAATCATTAAAATGGCTTAAATTATGTAAAAACAATCACGCTGAATGCAGATAGCATCACAACGCGTAGCGCCGTAGCACCGTAGCATCGTAGATAGATAGGGCGGGCGGGCGCGTGCGTGCATCAGTTAGTTGCCGGCAGGCGCCGCGTTAGCCGCCCTCCGCGTCGCCGGCATGCTTCCATCTCCCCGCATTCAGATAACCACAATACAACCGCAGTAAGTACAGCACAATCCTTATATTTATATATAAAACGTGTTAAATAACGTGTAAAATAAGTGATTTTAATTTATAATTGTTCAGTAGCGTTTGTTTTGTGCGCTGAAACAATTGAGCCATTCGTTCGATAGCCCACTGCCCCTATGAGGTGGAACCGATTCTTCCTGAAGGGTTGCGAGAGAATAGATTAAAGGCTTGTTTGTTCAAGATTTAATACAGGTATATATGTATACAAACATGGTAACTTCGCGATACTTGAGACGTGTTAGCATTCTCTTTCTAATTATTGAGTCTAATCTTATAATAAAACGGGGTCGGCGGCTAGGGCCACGCTATGCCGTCTTCCTCATTCAATTATAAAATGCTAAACACAAACAATTTTATTTTCTTATAGGAGAGGAGGCTTCTTTTTCTTGGTGTATTTAATTTTGTTTCTTATCCTGCAAACAAATTAATGTCTTTAGTTCACGCGAGTTGTACACATCTAAAACGAGACATTCATATAATGGTTATTCATTTATGATTTATTTTACCTACGACCCAACGCGGGTCGTTTCGGATCCTTTGCAAAAGCCGTAGTCGCGGCAGTGGTCACTGAATTATAACGAATATATTTCGCGTTGTAAACCGGTAAAAGTATTTTATTAAAATATTTTTTTCTAATATGCTCACCAAAATATTTTTTTTTAAAAATGGAAAAAGATTGTAAGGATTCTTTCTTCTTTAAATTTCCAGTATTTGATATATATCTCTATAACATTAATACGAATATTTTCCCTGCTACATTCCTCGCACTATTACAAATAGTTTAATAGTCAGTTATGAAATAGTATATTTAATAATAAAAAATAAGTTACCAAAGTATAAACTTACAAATGTATTACATATGAATGTAGACATACATAGAGAAATCTCTTCAGGCTTTTTCGTAATTGGGTACAATTATAAAATAGTAAATAAGTAGTGACCGCCTTTGTAGCTAAATGATTGTGTTGCCTAGCATTGTGCGAGAGGTAATGAGTTCGAATCCCGGGAAACAGTAAATTGTGTCGGTCGGGCAGGGCAAAAAATTCTGATCCAACTACTTGCCTAAATAAAAATTCATCAGTGAAACGAACACAGAAATACGTTTGGGATTTCACTTCTAAATAAGTAGTCATCGTACAAACTACATATAACCAATACACTTACATAATTCAAGAACTCTACCACTAGCTTAAGAGGTCAATGACTTTTATTAAGCGAGCCGCGTTTGGCATTCATTCACGAATCGTGTTTCTAGACAACTGCCTGACTATTTGAAATCGATTTTTATTTGTTTTGTCTTTGGATACTGGGAAATCCACAGACTGAAATCAAAACGCGATTAACTTCACGGCATTTTAACTCTAGACTGTAATTCGTGACCCGGACGGAATATCGATATTCCTACCACCCATTTCACATCCAGATTACCAGACGAAATCCAACATTAATTGTAAGGCTTCACATGCCATCGTTTAGCGTATTTTTCGTTTTTCGGGCCGTTCGGCCAACGTGAGGGAGAAGAGGTTCTCACGCACGTTTCACCATCACGAGCGGACGGCACACGAGATGTATTCGATAGCTTAAATAATTCTTCTACGACTAATTGTTCGTCGAGAACCTCTTCTCGCTGAATGTCCAACATGTAATAGAAAATGTGGCCGAAATAGTTGGTACTACATTGTTACCATTATAGCAATGACCAACGAAATTATATACACTGTTGTAGAAATTACAAAGCTTTTAATGCAAAGGCTAATTGCCCTTAATTAGTGGTTAACTTATAAATGAGAATATATTAGTGAAACTTGTAACGACGTCTAAACTGTACCTATACCTATACATAAAAATTATACAGCTCAGTGTTCAGGTTTTTCTTTTGTCGCAGGGGCTTTCTGAATAAATGAATGCGTGATTTATTAATTAAGACGCCGCGTCTTCCGCCTCTCGTCTTCTGCATGTCAAGCGGCCATGGTTCTTTTGAGACGTCTGTACTTTTCTCTTACTGTGTATCAAAATACATCCATCTAACTTAGCTTGCTCCGTATACTTCTTTTCTCCTTTTAGGAGTAAGTATTATTTAACAATGGCTCACTCGATCACGTTTCTATTGTATAATATAATCTATTATAAGTTTAAATAAATCATTTTTAAGGGGCTTAACTTAATTTTTTATTTTATTTTATTTAATCATATATTCTAATGTATTCTCATTTTCTTGTTGAATAAAACTTTTAAATTAAAAAAATATGTAGCATACAAGGCACAGGTTTTAACGGTTTGACACGCGAAGTATATTATTTTACTTATTTTTAATTTATTTCAATTAGGGCCCGACAATTTATAATATGACGGTGAGGCTTTGCTATAGCTGTTGTAACGAGAACGAGGAAACGTCGGGTCGTAATTAAAATCAATTTAAAATGAGTTTGCTAATATATTTTGCGTTTTAAATCGTTAAAAATCTTTTATTTAAATGTATACTACTCCCAATATTTTCTG